AGGAGTACAAAATTCATACATATGCTTGAAGCAATAAGGTTTTCAACCTACCAATTGCCCCCAGCCACCCAGCTGATCAAGAGAACAACTGAGATTGGCAGTTGTGTGCCTTCAAATTTCAATTCTGCCTTGGCTTAGGATGCAGGGGCCCCTCAGGTGCAGAGCGTTGGTGGTTGTGTTAGAGAAGTGAAGTGCTGCCAAACCAAGGTGCCCTTCAGAAGGAGGGGGCTGTGTGGGTGTGGGGTGTTCAGAGAGGAAGAGAGGGGAAGTCGTTTGGCCACCAGGAAGTCAAAGTTTCCTTGAGTCAGATGACCTAGGAACAGAGTGAGAGGGAAGAAAAAACCGTAATTGTACCCCCAGTGTGCTATCTCCCTCCCACCTCCATGCTTTGTCTTAAAGAAGCCATGCACACACACACACACCTAAAATGGGACACATTTGGAGACCACCAACACCACCTGGCCAGGAACTGTTTCTCTTGGGTGAATTCTTCTCATCCTGACTCCTGCCTACAGTTGCAGGTGCATGTCTGAACTTGAACTCAGGAGGAGGAAGCATGAGGGAAGAATTCCCAACACTTCAGTAAAATATTACCCTCTTAGCTGAACCCATAGCTAAACCCCAAACCAGCTCTGTGGGCATTTGCCAGGTGAAGATCCCCAAACTAGAAGTGTGTGGCCCCTCGCAAGGATTATCTGTGAGCCAGAGACCTGCCAGGAGAGTACCCTGGAAAAAGTATCCAGTTTCTTATCTGAACATTTCTGAAACATACGTGAGCTCTGTCTTGTCAAAGTTTAGACTTATGGAAGTCTTAAACATCTTAGAAGTATGAACTTCTAGGCACAACATTAACTCTTGGATTTTCGACTTCAACTATGTTAGGACAGTGGTGATATGTCTATTCACCCTTATTATCCTAAAGAAAAAGCAAAATCAGATTTATTTGTTTATGATGGAAAGTAGCCAATTGTAGAAGAAATGTTGAATTCCATTTTGAAAAACAGGACCCCTGATAAATAATAAGTGCAAATACCAGAGGCTCCTGCTCTGTCATATCCACATTTCAGGGAGGATTTTGCTGGACGCTTGCTCTTGTGTGCACTGAGTCTCCCGTCTGAAAATGAAAGTATGAGTAGGAAATCTCATCTAAAATTAGAAACAGGTGGGGGCAGGGAGAGGCCCTGTGGGTACACTTGCTGGTGGCCAACCCCACCCCCAACAGAAAAGGGAGTGGGGTGGGGCTTGGCTTCCACCTCTGAAGCCCTACGCCTCTGTCAGTTTCAGGACTCCCCCGGAGTGGGAAGAGGAGAGAAATAGGTGAGTGAGGTTAAGAGGTGCAAGCTTCCAATTACAAAGTAAGTGAGTCATGGGGACAAAATGTACAGCAGAGGGAATATAGTTAATAATATTGTAATAACTTTGGTGACAGATGGTAACTAGATTTATGGTGGTGATCATTTTTTAATGTATAGAAATACTGAATCACTGTGTTGTGCACCTGCAACCAGCACAATGTAGTAGGTCAATTATACCTCAATTAAAAAAAAAAAAAGACTCTCCTGGGGCCATGCGCGAGGTAGTAGGCCTCACACAAAATGATTACGTACACAAGTACTTTTGCTCTCCCATATGGAAGTTAAAGAGTGTTGACATACTTCCTTGTTCCAGCACTGTCATATTATTTTTAAATTTGATTTTATTTTTTAACAGATAATGCATTTACCTGGTTCAAAACTCAAAATGACATAAAACATATATATTTAGCAGGCTTGTTGCCACCATTGACCCCCTTCTGCCACCCCTATGGAATCATCTTTTTCAGTTTTTAATATATCCTTTTCAGTGCTTTTTATATATATACTATTTCATTCTTTTATTCAATACCTATTTCCTAAGCACCTGCTATTTTCTAGGCTATATATTTTAAGCACTGTTTTGGGCATAACGTAGTCCTCCCTTTTCTGTGGGGAGTATGTTGCAACACCCCTAGTGGATGCCTAAAACCAGGACTAGTACCAAACCCTATATATATATATATATATATATATATATATATATATATATATATATAAACTATCTATATATGTATGATTTATATAGTATACTGTGTTTTTTTCCTATACATACATACCTACGATAAAGTTTAATTTATAAGTTAGGCACAGTGAGAGATGAACAATAACTAATAATAAAATCGAACACTTATAACAATATATTATTAAAAAGTTATGTGAATGTGATCTCTCTCGAAATATTGTACTGTACTCACCCTTCTTCTTGGGATGGTATGAGATGATAAAATGCCTACGTGATGAGAGGAAGTGAGGCGAATGACATTGGCATTGTGATTTAGCACTGGGCTTCTGTTGATCTTCTAACCACAGGTCAGAAAGACGATCGTCTGCTTCAGGTGACCCTGGATCATCGGGCCATTATGACGTCCATGGTTGGATGTCAGGAGACTATGTTAGTGGTTGGGGATCCCGGGTGGGGCGGGATGGAGCAGGATGGCCCAAGATTTCATCATGCTACTCAAAATGGTGCTCGATTTAAAACTTACGAATTGTTTATTTCTGCAAGTTTCCATTTAATATTTGCAGACTGCAGTTGACCACAGGTAACTAAAACTGCAGAAAGCAAAACCACGAATAAGGGAAGACTACTGTACATCCTAACTGTCATGGAGCAAAAATCCTTACTCTCATGGAATTTATCATCTGGAAGGAGGTAGACAGACAATAATCAATGAACATAAGAAATAAGAAAATAATGGAGTGAGGAGGATGGTGGTGTGAAAGTTCAAAGGGGCACATTGTAATTTTAAATAGGGTAGTCAGAATAGACTTCACTGAGAAAGTGACGTTTTGAGCAGAGTTGAAGAAGGTGAGGGAGTTAGCTATGTGGGTATCTGGGGGAAGAGCATTCCAGACAGAAAGACAGCCCATACAAAGGCCCGAAGCAGAGCATGCCTGTCATATTCATGGAACAGCAAAGACCCAAGTGTGGCTGGAGTGGAGAGAGTGAGGAAGAGTAGTAGGAGGTGAAGTCAGAGAGGAAGCATGAAAGGACAACAGACTGTGCAGGAGCTTGCAAGGACTTTAGTGTTTACTCTGAATGTGATGGGGAGCCTGTCCCAGATTTTGAGTGGCATGATCTGACTTACATTTGAATAGAATCTCTCTGGCTGCTATGTTGGGAACAAAGGGTGGAAGAAGGGAGAGGCTGGTTTTGAGGCTATTGCAGTAATCCAGGCAAGAGGAGATGGTGAATCAAACAAGGTTGGGAGCAGTGGAAGTATTAAGTGGTAAGATTCTGGGCATATTTTTAAAGTAGTCACTGATGAATTGGGTATAGGGTTTGGGAAAAAGAGAAGAGTCCATGATGACTCCAAGGCTTTTGACCTGAGCAACTGGGAAAATTGAATTGCCATCAGTTGAGATGGCAAGTTAGGGAGGGAAGATCAGAAATTTAATTATGCACAAGTGAAGTTTGAAATGCCTTTTAGACATCCAAGAAGAGATGCCAAGTGGATGTTAGATCTAAATTTGAGGGTTGTCAGCATACAGATGGTATTTAGCCATGATACTAAATGAGATAGCCAAGGGGGTGAGTGCAGATAGGAAAAACAAAAACGGTGAACCAAGGGCTGAGTCCTAGGACACTCTAATGTTAAGAGCTGGTGGTAGAGGGGGGAGGCAGGAGGAGAACCAGCAAAAGGAACCTACAGGGAACAGTGAGGTAGAGGAAAACTAGCACAGGGTGGTGTCCCAACGTCTGGTGATGGAAGTTTCTCAAGAAGGAGGAAGTGACAAATTGTGTGAAATGTTATTGGCTGTCAAGTAAAACCACTGGCTTTAGCCATGTTGAGGTCACTGGTGTTTATGACAAAATCAGTTTCAGTGGAGTGAAAGGTAAAAGCTGTGTGAGCGGGTCTAAGAAGGATTTTGAGAGAAGTCACAGACATTAATTATAGACATCTCTTTCTGAGAGATTTGCTAGAAAGGGAGCAAAGAAATGAGGCAAAAGCTGACAGGGGAAATGGGGTCAAGTGGAGAATTTTTATGAGGTGGGAGAAATGTGTGCTCTTGTGAATGATTCAGGAAAGAGGGGAGAAGTGATGATATCAGAGAAAGGCAAATATTTGGACCAATGACCTTGAATAGACTTGAGGGGATAGCCTCTCCCTTTGTTATTTTCTGTATCTTTCTTTTAAAAGATAGCATTTTATACGCACTTTTCTACACCTTGCATTTTCCGCTTAATCTATGGTTCTTTTCACATCAGTACATGGAGAAATTCTTCTCTTTTTTTACAGCTGCATACTATCCCATTGGAAGGATATACTACAGTTTGTGTATTGTTTCTAAGTTTTTGCTGTCCTCAGCAATGCTATTCTGAATAACTGTGTATATGCCTCATCACATATGTGTCAGCCCTGTTGCTGCTTCAGTGCAGGAGCTAAAGTTCATCTTCTGCGGCTCTCAACATTTCTAATGTGTGACTCTTTCTTCTCTCTTTTGGATTTCCTCCTCTTTTTTTACTAACTCTGCATTCAAATTAATTTTGCCTTGTAACACCAGGAATGTACTTAAATAGATAAATATAATAGCTCTTCATTTATTTCTGATCGTTGTGTTAGGTCAAAATAATTGTTCAGATACATATAGGGACTTTATGAAAACAGATGCCATATAGGATCAATAATTATATTTGATTTGGGATTTTTAGCTATGGTAACAAAATATCATTCACTGGACTTCAGAGGTACTTTTCCAAATCTTTTTGTTAGGAATCTTGTTAGAGATCTTCCTTATTCCCATGTTCTGGAGGATCCTGTGTCCTCAAACACCACCTCCCCTCCCCTGCCTCACCCATTAGTTTTTGTATATTTGGAAATGACAGCTTGTGTCCAGTGTTATGTCTCAGACAGTTGCCATCTCGTAGCTATTAATGGTTGTTCAATATTTTCTGGTACTAGTGTTGGTATGTTTCTCCCCTAGACCTTTGGAAACACCAAGTCATGAGAGAAAACGTTTCAGTTATCAGACCACAAATAGTTGAAAATTTTGTACAGAGATTACTGGAGAATTACCAGGATGGTGGACTAGAGGTATGTACTAAAAATTAGTCATTCTAGAGTGTGGTTTGCTTTTTTTTCTTTTTTCATAAACCCAAACAAGAAAGACTTTCCCTTCAACACATCTCCTAATGCTTCCCTTACTCCCTTAGAGTTGAAGATGTGAAAACTGAGGCTGAACTCAAAGTAGAAATCACATGTTACCATTTTAATTTTGGAAAAAGACTGATTTCTAATTAAGTTGGGAGAGTAATTAGAATATGCATGTTGGCTAATTTCAGATTTGGCCAATTCTTTAGAGTAACCTTGGAGTTTATGGATGAGTTGTTTTTAGCAACATTTCCTGTTATTGATTTTTTTAGTATAAAAATTTTAAGAGAAAAACCAAAATAACCTATGAAATCACTACCTAGAAAACTTCTTTAAATGTGCAATACGAAGAAAACGTAACACCTCAGAAAGGTAACATTTTCACCCCTATTCCACTCCATCATCCCCAGTTTCCTCTCCCAAAGGATACCAGTATCAACAATTTGTATGTGCGTATATGTATTTGAATTCATAACTACTCCATATAATATGTATTTAACAATAATATATATTTAATACATACAACAGGCATACACATAGTCCTTGGAGTTTTTAACTGTTTACTATTGACAGGAGGTACCTTTCTAAATCAAAGGAATCTGCTGAAAAGGTAGTATAAGAGAGTGTTTGTGTATATTTGGCCACAACAGAGTTTTTAGGATCTTTAAGGAATTAAGCTTGAAGTGCAGTAGGTAGCTGTGAATCCAGTTTCCTTTGAAATTCAATCATTTTTAAAAGCCTGCCTTAGAAAAATGTGCTCAATTTTTTGGACAACATTTTCTCCACATTTACATTTTTCTAAGCTCTCCAAATAGTCCCCATAATTTTATAATAAGCACTTCAGTTCTTATTTATAAGGTAGAGAATTCACAAGCTTGCTTAGAGATACACTATTCCTCAGAATTTATATGTATTTGTTTTAAGCTTTCAATTATACCCAGTGTGGTGCTGTGTATTCTGATGAGGGGGTGAAGTAATTCCTCTTGGATCCCTGCAGTTCAGTGATTCTCAAGCAGAAGTACAGAGGTGATTAAGGTGGGGTATGCTCAGAAAAATGTTTGAATCAAAAACTTTTGTGGCTTTCCTTAAAAGGAAGGAAATTCTGACACATGCTTCATTATGGAAAATATTCTGTTACATGAAATAAACCAGTCACAGAAACATAAATGCTGCATGATTCCACTTAGATGAGGTACATAATGTAATCAAATTCATAGAGACAGAAAGTAGAATGGTGTCTGTCAGGGGCTGGCGGGTGGGGGAACGGGAAGTTAGTGTTTCATGGGTACAGAGTTTCAGTTTGGCAACATGAAAAGAGTTCTAGAGATTGATTGCACAACGTTGCGAATGTCCTTAATGCCGCTGAACTGTATACTTAAAAATGGCTAAAATGGCAAATTTAATGTATGTTTTACTGTGATAAAAACAAACAAAAAGTTTGTGGCTCAAGATCTGCTCATCCCTTATCTATGTACTTCACCCCAACATTGAAGACAGGATCTTCTGGGAAAGAAATGTGAGTATTAGTAAACAGGGCAAACCTAGATCAGGCACAGCTGAAACTGAGGGCACACTGAAGAGGCTGGTATCAGCCTGCGGTTGTCTTGGAGTAACAGGACCCCAGAATGTTAGGTCCCTCCAAAGTCTGTGCCTGGTGGGCTTCTAGTCTCTTCTGGATCATCTGCAGTGACTGGGAGCTCACTCTCTTTCAATCCCCACCCATACTTCCCCACCCCCATTCCTGGCAACTCTTGTTTCAGGCACCTCTTACTGAGCTGGATTTGGCCTCCCCACTGTCTCCACCATGGATCCTAGTTCTGTCTCTGGGACACCACAGATCATGGTTCTGACCCCTCACAACAAGCCTTTAGATAAATGAGGGCAGGTCAGTCAGAGAAGCTCAGTTGGGCCATTGCTAGCATGTGTGAGTCTTCTGTAAAATTACAAGTTGGGCCAGCTCCAGGAGGACAGACCCAAACAGGTGCCCCTCTGGGTGGTGGATAACAAATATTTACCCCTTCCTTCAGGCCGTACAGCCTATACCAGGGCACATGGACAGGGAAATGGTGCTCCCCTCACCTGGGTGCCCCTGCGCAGAGCAGACTGCACTGGTGTGCAAGGAAAGCCTGAGCCCTGCCTTCCCTTCTTCAGCCTAAACCAGCTTCCTTTCCTTCAACCTCTATGAGTGCCCCACCCTCCTGGTCAGTATCCTCTGAATTCAAGGTTGTCTGGCCAGCCAAGAGTACCCTTGTCCTGGGTGCTCTGCTTTGATTAACACCCATGAATGTGTTAGGTTTTGTCACAGCTGACTCATTAGGCTAACAGCCACCTGCAGCCCACACATGGCCTTCAGGCATCCTGCTACTGCCTTATTATTAGCCTTGTTCTTGTTCAACTTGGTCCACTCTCTGAACCTCTTGAAATCTTTAAAACTCTGGATTTTTATCATCCACCATACTGTCTCTCCCTTCCAGGTTCATGTCAGTCTACCCTCGGTATCCTCCTTCAAGCCTTTAATAACAGTGTATGAAAGGACAGGCCCCAAGTGCTGTGCTGCCCACTCTGGGTCCCCTCCAGGCTTAACAGGTACTTTGGGCACAGTCTTTCAGTGACCAGAAACTCATCCGGTTGTCCTTTCACCCAGCCCATGTTCTCCATTTGTCCAAAAGGACATCATAAGAAACCTTCTCAGATGTCCTGCTGAAATCCAGATACACTGCATCTGCTATATTTCCTCAGGGAAAAGTTTAATCTGATCTGACTATTCTTGAACCCACGTTGGCTTCTCGTGATTTTTGCTTCCTTCTCCAAATTTTAGAACACCAGCATTTCACAAGCAGTTCTAATATCTCGGCCAAATTTTGTACCAAACACACTGGCCTGAAGTTAGAGATTGACCTTTTTTTGCAAATCAGAACTGTAATAGTCTATTTTGTGGATTCCAGAACCATTTCCATTTATATGCTGAGAGTCACTCACTCATTCAGCAAGTGTTTATAGATCTCCTGTTTTTGCTCAGGCGCTTTATTAGAGATATAAAGGCAAAAGGCACAGTCTCTGCCCTCAAAGAATTTATGGAAAAAGTTAGGTGAACCAGCAATGTCCGGAAAAGGCTCTTCACACTAAGCACTTTGATAGAGGCACAAATGGGGTGCTATGTGAGCTCCAAGAAGGGGGAGGGGTGGGAAGTAGTCAGGGAAGACTTTCTGGAGGAGGTATTGTTTGGGCCAAGTTTTTTTTTTTTTTTTTCATTTAAACATCTTTATTGTAGTATAATTGCTTTACAATGGTATGTTAGTTTCAGCTTCACAACAAAATGAATCAGTTATATATATATACATATGTTCCCATATCTCTTCCCGCTTGCGTCTCCCTCCCTCCCACCCTCCCTATCCCACCCCTCCAGGCGGTCACAAAGCACCGAGCTGATCTCCCTCTTTTATGCGGCTGCTTCCCACTAGCTATCTACCTTACGTTTGGTAGTGTATATATGTCCATGACTCTCTCTCGCTTTGTCACAGTTTACCATTCCCCCTCCCCATAGCCTCAAGTCCATTCTCTAGTAAGTCTGTGTCTTTATTCCTGTTTCACCCCTAGGTTTTTCATGACATTTTTTTCCCTTAAATTCCATATATATGTGTTAGCATACGGTATTTGTCTCTCTCTTTCTGACTTACTTCACTCTGTATGACAGACTCTAGGTCTATCCACCTCATTACAAATAGCTCAATTTTGTTTCTTTTTATGGCTGAGTAATATTCCATTGTATATATGTGCCACATCTTCTTTATCCATTCATCCGATAATGGACTCTTAGGTTGTTTCCATCTCTGGGCTATTGTAAATACAGCTGCAATGAACATTTTGGTACATGACTCATTTTGAATTATGGTTTTCTCAGGGTATATGCCCAGTAGTGGGATTGCTGGGTCATATGGTAGTTCTATTTGTAGTTTTTTAAGGAACCTCCATACTGTTCTCCACAGTGGCTGTATCAATTTACATTACCACCAACAGTGTAAGAGGGTTCCCTTTTCTCCACACCCTCTCCAGCATTCACTGTTTCTAGATTTTTTGATGATGGCCATTCTGACTGGTGTGAGATGATATCTCATTGTAGTTTTGATTTGCATTTCTCTAATGATTAGTGATGTTGAGCATTCTTTCATGTGTTTGTTGGCAGTCTGTATATGTTCTTTGGAGAAATGTCTATTTAGCTCTTCTGCCCATTTTTGGATTGGGTTGTTTGTTTTTTTGTTATTAAGCTGTATGAGCTGCTTATAAATTTTGGAGATTAATTCTTTGTCATTTGCAAATATTTTCTCCCATTCTGAGGGTTGTCTTTTGGTCTTGTTTATAGTTTCCTTTGCTGCGCAAAAGCTTTGAAGTTTCATTAGGTCCCATTTGTTTATTTTTGGTTTTATTTCCACATCTCTAGGAGGTGGGTCAAAAAGGATCTTGCTGTGATTTATGTCATAGAGTGTTCTGCCTATCTTTTTCTCTAAGAGTTTGATAGTTTCTGGCCTTACATGTAGGTCTTTAATCCATTTTGAGCTTATTTTTGTGTATGGTGTTAGGGAGTGACCTAATCTCATACTTTTAAATGTACCTGTCCACTTTTCCCAGCACCACTTATTGAAGAGGCTGTCCTTTCTCCACTGTACATTCCTGCCTCCTTTATCAAAGATAAGGTGACCATATGTGCATGGGTTTATCTCTGGGCTTTCTATCCTGTTCCATTGATCTATATTTCTGTTTTTGTGCCAGTACCATACTGTCTTGATTACTGTAGCTTTGTAGTATAGTCTGAAGTCAGGGAGTCTGATTCCTCCAGCTCCGTTTTTTGTTCTCAAGATTGCTTTGGCTATTCGGGGTCTTTTGTGCTTCCATACAAATTGTGAAATTTTTTGTTCTAGTTCTGTGAAAAATGCCAGTGGTAGTTT